ATTTTCTTCACTTCAAAAAAAAAGAAAAAATTCTAAATTAAAATTTTCTAAATTCAGAAATTCTGTTTGTTGTAAATTATATAAAAATTATTAAATTTTTTCGAAAGGAATAAAATGAATATAAAATATTTTTAAAAAACTGTTTTATAAAAATATTTTATATGATTTAATAAATTCAATAAATGTATAATTATTAAAAATTAATTCAGTCAGAAAAAGGAATAAATTTTTAATTTTTAGTAAAAATAATTTTTTGTACAAGGTTGCCCAAAAATCAGTCAACCACTTTGAAGACTTAATTCTGTCTTATTTAAGCACTTAATTATTTAAAAATTTTATAAAATTGGTTCGTTTCGAGATCCTTCTTGTTTAATATTTACAAATTACACTTGAATTTCTTGCAAAAAGAAACACGGTAAACTAACTTTTGGGTCGCTTTGTATTTATTGATCAATCCACTATTGAATTTTAAATATTTTTATTCTGTTCTTTTAATAAAAATTCGAGAAAAACAATTAGACAATGTCTTCGAGATCAATAGTAAAATCGAAACTTGGATGGACGGGGGAAATTTGCGAAAGTTTTCTAATTGTTTGTATGTGTGCACATTAAATCTCAATTAGAAAACAATCAGTGAAAATCTTATTAATGCAGAAATCTTTACAAAATTATGAAATCTTGCAATTTGAATATTCCTTAATAAGTTTACTGTTCTTTAGCGGCTCATCATTTCTCATTTAATGTTTTATTTGATCTCTAAATTACTGTTTGTTATCAAACGATAATTTCCAAGCAGTTTCAACAGAAATTCATTAACGAAATAAAACCACTGTACCCTATTGTAATTACTGTTACTATCGAAATAAACTGTATTTAATGTATTCTGTTGTAACAAATGGGGGGGATTGGCAATGCTACCTCGCATGTATCCGACACTACCTTTTAATATATCTAAGAAAATTATTCAAATAACTTCTAATTAAATGAATAATTATCAAAAATAAACGACAGGAATTATATATATTCTTTATTTTTAAGAATAAGAATAATCAAAAATGAATTAATTTAATTATAAAGAAAAATGCAAATTTTCGATTAATTCTCGGATATTTAAAAGGGGGAATCGATTAATTTTATTTAATCTCCTGACGCGTGTTTACGTCATTCAATTTTTTTATTTAAAAGGAAAAAAGTCTTTTATTCTAAACAAAACTCCTTTCTAAAAACTGACGGACGAAATTATAAATTAAATAATAAAAGACCATTTGTTAGGTTCTGAATGGAGGGGTGGAAACGATTTAAAAAATATGCACGAAAGTAAAATCGGCACTTCGATAATTACTCACACCGCACGTGAATAATTGTTGAATTTTTATTGAATAAAAAAATTTAAAAAAAAAGTTCAACTTCATCATTTGAATTTTAGTCGAATTTACCTTGAAGGATAGGATCAGCTCGTCTAGTTTGAGTAATTGGCTGACAAAGTGTCTTTCTATATGCCTCGAACTCCATGGCCTGCAGTCACCTTTCACTTCTTTTCTCCAGATACTTAGCACCTTTTATATATTCTATCACCAAAGGGTGTCCAATTTCATAACATGTAAACGTCAGATTACCTTTATTACGACTAATAACACGTAACAGAACGTGATTATTCAACTGTATAAGTATTAATTATTAAAAAGAAAATCATTGCAGTGTTTATTTCATTTTATTTAAGAAATTACGTAAATTTTTAACTTTTTTCTCGATTTTTTATGATTTAATAATTAGGAGTTAATTTTTTAGATATTTTATGCCTCAAATATTATTTAAAAATGTAAAGATTTAAATATTTGCAAGGAAAATAATGCAGGAAATTTTTTAATAACTAACAAAACACTAATTCTAAACACTGGAGATTTTTAAAAAATTTTTCCTTGTTTAATTCTTGTTATTAAAGTATATTTTCCTTATATTTTTAATGTATAAGTATCTTAAATGTTTTCTTCCTAACATATATGTAGGGGAATCTGGCCTAAAATGACTCACTGGGGTAAAACGGTACACTAGTTATATCTGAAAAAAAAAGCTACAGAATACTCTATGCTGCTCAAAAGGTAGCAGCAACGATCATTACAAAAGTTTCGACATCACGAAGAGTCTTTTGTTAAAGGAAAAAGAAAAAAAATCAAGAAAAAGTCTTCTCTGCAATATAATATTGTGCGTGTATGCCGTTTTTATCATCGTAGACTTAATTTTTAAATAATTGAAAGTAATGCTTTCAAATATAAGTAATATTCTTTATATATAGCAACTATCCATTTCCCCATCTCTGCAAGTTGTTTCATTATATTTATTCACTGAGGGTAAAATGAGATCAGTTACTTGACTATGTTGTAGGGCTTTGACTAAATGTTCAAGTTGCAGGTTGATATTTTATGTATTGATACCATGTAAATGTTAGTCAATTTATATTATTTATATATTACCTATCAAATTTTCTTACCATAATATATAAAGATATTATAGTTAGAAATTACAAAAGAAAGTCATAGATACAATCTTGGGACTAAATACGGTCGTTCTAACCTGGCGAAACATGGCTTAAATGCGAGAAATGTTCTTTGTGGACACATAATAAATGTTTGGGCCTCACAAGAGAAAAAATAATTTTATATGCGATTTATGTAAGAACTTTTTCGGATGTATCGGTTTTACCCTAGCAACTAAAGTAAAATGAAACAGTATTATTATTTTTGAAACATTTGTTACTTAAAAACAGTCTGAATTTTTCCAGTTCTTCTTGTTATTATTATATTGAGTAATATAAATAATACTAATATTACATATCAATAAATCATTAAACATCTTATCTAAGAAAATGCGTTTTTGTTTATATTTTCCGTAGTGTGTGTCACATAGTATCCAAGATCGAATTTAGACTTATGTTTCTAAAATACAACGAAGGGCCTTTCCTCCCGTTATCAAATAATAAATATAAAATTGTGAGGTCCTAAATTACACAATATCCTTTTAGTTTAAGCTAAACAAACTATAGCTAATGCTTTCGTGTAAATCGTTCCCTGAGACCTAATTGTTTAGACCCTATAACTGTAATTTTGTAATATGCCTATTTACAGAATATTTAAGTTTACAAAATTCATAATAAATGGTCAAATTATTAGCAAATTATATAAAATTTGATTTATTCTTCTTCTTTCTAATCACAAACTTAATTCTATAAAAATAAAATTTCGACTTCTATAAAAGTAACTAAATATTAAATACCTCATTATTGTAATGAACGAGTTAAATTTTAATTATTAAAGTATATAACCGAGTTTGTTTACTCTTGAAATTATTCCATAAGAGGTAAAACGTCTCATAGAGAGAATGATTCGAAGTTGTCATTTCCTTTACCGAAATTTTCCTTACTTTATGTAATTAGATGTCGGGTATGACAATATTAAATACATTTAATCCATTAAAATTCATAATTGCTTCAATTATATCAAGAAGTTCATCGGATTTTAAACGTAACATCTAATTTATATCATTCTACACTCCGCTTCCTGAATTCTAGATTTTCTATTTCTAGAAATATAAATTTAGAATTAATTCCCTAGAAAACTGTTAATTCTAGGATAGAGAACAAGAAAAAAAAATGGATCAGTTTTATTTTAAAAATCTTGTGTTTTACGTAACAGAAATAGGAAGGAAAATACAATAAATAAGTAATTAAAAAAATGGTTGACCATATTGGATTTTCAATATAAGAATCTGTGACAAATTAATGTGAAAAAGTATTTAAACGAGTTTGAGCATCTCCAAAATTGCATTGAAACTTCTGCCTAGACCAGAAAAGTCATTTAACTGAATATAGAAATAGCTTTCGCCTTAGGCTCGTTCCATTAATAAAATAGCAAGCTGGAGTACGTGACTTTTACTTGTTTTGATTCTTATTTTGAAAGCAATATATTTGAAAAGTTTCCATATCTTTTAAGTAAGATATTCTTACTGAAAACGTACATATTTATTATCGTTGTTATTATTATTGTTATACAAAAAATATCTCTAAATTTTTTAACATTTAGAATTTCCACATCTCTCTCTCTCTAAATCTTTATATACGAAGCTAATGTTCCATACCTAACGTTAAATATTTTATATTATTAAAAACATTTTTGAGGTCTATAAATTTAATTTATAATTTTCTAATAGATTTTAATTTTAAAAAAGCTATCGAAGAAGTGTTAGATAATAAGAAAATGCATAACTTAAGAGGATAAAATAAGCAGTAAATTAATAAAAAATAACCGCATAATTTTAGAGAAATTATTAATTCGTTATAAGTTAAAAGTTATACTAATTAATTTTACGTTTCATCCATATGTTCACTTTTCTGTAAATTATATAACTAATTGATTATTTCAATAATTACAATAGTGTTTAGTGTCATCCCTTAATAACAGACTCCGTGTCATCAATTCTCGCGTGTAGAAGGAATTTCAACCCAACACTAATATAATTAATATAAGTGACATTCTATCTTTTACATTCACAGTGTTCAGTAACTGTACATTCGGATATAAATGACCAGATTTCTCGTTTCTCAATTTTATATATCCACACACAGAGACATACACCAATACACCTACATACACACGCACAATTGTTTTTTTTATATTGGGGTTGTTTTTTTGTAATTTTCTCGTAGACAATTTCTGTTGTTGTCTATCGGCAGTTCCTGAGAAGGGGCTGAGTACCACTCTGAGTTCACATGTTAGTCTGTTGTGAACACAGCTGGTGGTATCTCAGTTACCTCCCAGACTACTTCGACTGTCTGATCAGGTGGATCAAATCAAGAGTTAATATCTTCCTCGGAATGTCTGCATCAGTGTTTGGCAGTGTGGTTAGCTGGTTGTTAAATGAAAACAACAACCACTATCTACATTGCCGGAAACTGGTGATGAACGCTTCTTCGAAAGGAAACAATAAAAATAAATAATAAATAATAATACAAAAAAATTTGATTTTTATTGAAAAATAATAATAATTTATAAAACATTAGAGAAATTTTTAAAAAATAATAATTTTATAATAGAAATTCTTCATAATTCTTCGGTCTTTACAGCTACTTTCTCCAATGGTACAACTGAAAAAATATTTTTAAAAATTATGTAAAGTATAAGCTATTAAATGTATTTAAAAATGCAAAAATGTTGAAATTATTTTCACCCTTTATTACGCGGCAAATTAAAATTTATTACAATTAAGTGCATATTCGATTACAACTTCGATTTTAAGTAATGCGCTTATTTACAAATGAACCGTGCTGAAGTATTATTAGGAAGGATACCCGAAAACTTTTAAATAATTTATTGCACCGTCAAAAGGATTTGGTTCTTAACAAAGGCTTATCAAGAGGCTACCTTGTCGTTTACTGCCTGAAAGATTTGGAAGCTTTCCAAGTTTATATTGTTAAAACCATGTGCTCTTCACAATTGTACAACAAACAATTCAGCTATTTAACACTTCTAACAAAAGTTTCTTCCCTTAATGCAACTACTACGCGAAACAAAACGTTGTTTTTTACATTTATTTTTTGTCTCTCCCCTTTCCTTCTTATGCCACACGCTTCAAATCTGTATTAATAATTATTTTCCCCAACCACGCAAAAAAAAGGTTATAAAAATATTTTTCAATTATTCTACAATTTATCTGCAAATTTATTATTCCGGGAAAAAAACTGAAGTAATTCAGAAATCGATATTAGAAACAGGACATAATTAGCTGCAGAAGTTTTGTTTCTTGCCTTTAGCAATTTTGCTCCTTTCCCAAATGACATAATCCATGTGCCAGAGAACAAACCCAATCGCAATAACTATTATTTACTTTTTATCAACAATCTTGGCATTTCTGTTTCTATCAAGGTTATTAGAGAAAATAACACCGAAGTAATAAATTAATACGTAAAACAAAAGTTAATTTTATTCCGTTTCGGTAATATATTGCAATTTTTAAATAAAAAGGAATTAATTATAAAAGTAAATAAGACGAAATTTACCTGTTAACTTCACTGGAGTCGAAGTAATTGTTGGATTTTCTTCGTCTCCGGTTATTTCACACACCCATTGACCTTCGTCTCGACTTTTTTCTACTGAAATTATCCTAAGACTGCAAACACCTGCGGAAGTATCACCAACCCATTGTAAATGCTTGTGTTTGACGAAATTATAACCGATGTTTCGCCCGTCTTTCAGCCATACACAATCCCCAATTGGGTTCTCTACCACGCACTCCAATGTAACTGAGTCTCCTTCGTTTACAGATTGAGACTGTGGTAATTGAAGAAACGACTGTCTTCCCACTAAAACAAGAAGTATTTTAAATTTTTAAAAAATAAAAAAATAATATTTAAAAAAATTGAAAAAATCTTACCCAACTTAACGGTCTGAACGGTTTTATTGATGACTGAACTTAACCAGTCACTTAACAGTTGTATATTTTCTTTCTCTGCATTTTTATCTCCAGTAGTGTTGAGCAGAGACGTGTTAAACCAGGCATTTTCATTCTGAATCGATATATTTTAATACAATATTAGATACGGTGTTTAAAAGATTCATGATGTTTAAAATTAAATGCTACACAGAGCATTGAAGGCACGCTTTTGTACCAATCTACGAATGCATTTCGTTGATTTAAACAGTAAAGAATTCTTCAACATATAAAATTTTATCCAGAATTATTCCCCTTGTGCTCCTTTTAATTGCAATGGAGATTTTGGGTATTTTGCCATTCGTCGGCAGTTGATATTTAGTATAAAAGGATTTCCTAAACAATCGTCCCCGTCGACCTCAATTTTTACTCTTACAATTACATTTAATTTAAGACCATTAAAACTTTTGCAATTTAGAAAATATTGTATTGCTACGAAGAAGAATTTTAATATTGAGATTTTCGTAGCCGAGTACAAATAGTAATATTGCTAAGAAGAATATTTCCAAAAGCAGTTAATTCTAATTACGTTTCGTTGCAGTTTCCGGATTTATTAAATATATTGATTATTAATATAAAAGGAAAGCATTTGTGAGTTTTAACCATTATCAGACTAAGAGACGTTTCTTTGTTGCCTTTCAGTAATTGCAAACCATCAGAACAGCCTTTTTTTCTTTTCTTTTAATTCTTCTAGGGTAAGTGGCAAAGAATTTTTTCAAAATTATAATTTAACTCGAGAGGGAACATTTAAACAGATTATAGCCTATAAATTGTAGCTTAATTTTAAATATAAAGTTACATGTGCCAACTGTCTAGTACCATTCTATTGAAATTTAAATAAATCTCCTCAAGTTTGCATTTATTCGAAGTAAATCTTCGATTATATAAAGTCGAAAAAACAGAATTATACGCTGGTTTACCAGATATTTACACATCTAGAAATTTTCAATATAAAGTGGAGCTTTGGTTATACAAAAGAAAATGTAGGACAAATGTTGCAGAGTTTTCCACATGCTTTGGTAAAGATATCGATGCCAGTTCCTATGTTCACTCGAGGGTTTTTGTGTAAGTGTTTCGCAAGAAACATTTACAACACCCCCAAAAAAATACGAACTATTTTCTTTTTGCCTTTTTCTTCTCTCCTATGCACGTGTACACTTAAAACATTTATAAAAATTCGATTTCTTCTTGCACTGAATTAAAAAAACACCTCATTGATTGCTCCATCGTAATGCAATTTTGTAATCTTGGAAATTATCATCTAATTAGGACATAATCGCAGGAAACATTCCACAAATATCCATAATAAATCCCATACAGTGGTGTATATCACGTCTCGTAATTTCACGTTGATTAAATTCTATCAGCGCCAACTATTTACGCGTATTTGCTTTAGTACACTTCAACTATTTTACCAATTTTGATGCATTATTCAAGGCGAACAAAAGAGGTTAAAATAATTTGTATTCACCATCTTTCTTTAACGAAAATTCTTTTATTTTTATCTTACTCCCCCCTTTAATCGTGCCGTAATTACGTAACCTGAATAATAGTAATTTTTAATGGTTATTTATTGCCGTGTTTTACCACTTTAAGCATTACGGTTCCATCTTTGCCTCCTCCCCTTCTGAACTAAATTACAATTAGTATCTTTAAATACATTTATATTGTGTTGTTTAGAAAATAAATATTCCGATGAATTTTCGGTTTATTAAATTACAAAATTCTCGCGGAATTAATCTAAACTGATTTCTACATAAATTATTACTAATCGGTTCGATAATTATCGCGAGGAAAATTACATTTACGAAATTGCAATATTGCCAAACTCGACAGAATTGAGAGCATTTCGTTACACAAACGTTGCCACTTTTGGATACCTTACAAAAATTTAATAGCCTGGTGCTTTTAAAATTGGATTCTGCTGGTTTTCTGAATATTTATAATGTCATTGCAGTACGCAATCTTCGGAATTAATTTATTATATTGTTTTTTCGAATTTCCAATAAAATTTAACACTAAAAATGCTTTTAATAAATACACAACTTAGTTTAGAAAATGTAAAATGTCATGGGTTCGGATTCCACTAGGAGTGGCAAAGAACAGTCTGTACATTAACGTTCAGTGGTGTAACCATCATCGTAAAAAAGGGGCATTCGATTTGTGGAAAACTAATCTAATAAAATCTATTAGATATATTTTTTTATATATTATTTAATCATAAATCTAATAAAAACATACACATTTAAGCCCTTTTCTTGTATAAGTCCTATATATAATGAAGGATCTATTTATCTTTAACTATTATAAAATGACAAGAGTAAATAATATTAAGCATTCGTCACAAATTTTTGTGTGACGAATGCTTGATAAGAAGGGGGATTAAGAAGGGAATATTCCTCCCCCTTATTCTTTTGTACGGGCGTGCAATTTATACGCCTGGTGTTATTTTATTTATGAACAACGCCATCCACTCGTCAAGAACATATTAATTTACTGGATATTCCATAAAAATGAATTAAATTAAGAATTTTCAGCATAAATTCTGTCGAAAATCACTCGATAACAAGTTGAAAAGATACCGAAACAACATTAAAATCTCTATCAGACATATGAAAACCAAATGAATATCGATTTGGCGAAAACATTAACCAGAAAGCGTGCAGCTAATAAAGACATCAGTCGAGGCTAGATAAACTTTTAATATTAATTATTATAAATCATATTAATGACGATTTAATCGCTATATAAAATATGTTTTAAAAGATCATTTAATTTTAATCATTGAAGAAAAGTCATTTAAGTTCAAAGCAAAGTAAATTCTCTTCTTATTAAATTAAGAGCCATTGTCGTTTACTTATCTTACAAAAAGATGCTAATTTTTCTCCTAATTTTTGATTATGTTAACAATTCGTAAATAAATAAGAGTATCGAGAATATCATTCACCTAATTTTTTTTACAAAAATTAAGTCAAAAATAAATATTTTCTTTATGAAACGTTGAATTATTTATCTATGGAATTCTGGGGTGCGTTTTCTCCCTTTTTCTTTGTTTTCCTCCCCCTCTCTTGGATGGAAATATGTTTTACAAAAATTCTAAAAACTATCGGGTGGAAAGTAAACAGAGAAAAATATTTTGGATTCATCGATTTAACTTTCAAATTTGTAAGGAAAAATCGATAGTATTTATAAACGATGTTTTAAACTTTGTATTCGACTAGTTTTTAAAATCTGATGTAAGTCTTTTCAAACGTTACAAGATTATCAATCAAGATGGTTGATGTAAGATCTTACAAGGACTTACCGTAGTTAAATTGACAGTTCCAAAGGCAGGTAATATAGGAGGTATCCCTAATGTGCTCTCCAATACATCCATCATCTGTAAGCAAATATCCATTCGATACAAAAATATAATTGGTACCACTACATTGCAACGTAAAAAATGAAGAAGAAGAAATTGGTATTAATGTAACATTACGTACAATGTGCATAGCTGGAAAAGTATCAGGTTCTATCCAGACAATATTTAATTGCTGGAATTCCGTGTTGTTGGTGTTATTGCGGATTATTTTGGATAAGAGACGGTAAAAATAAGCTCCTATTGGAGACTGCTGCTCTCCTATAGATAAGACTAGAATCCGGTTTTCATCAAAAAGCTGAAAAGAGAATATTATTATAATATATATATACACATACACTGAAGCTCCTGCACAATTTTCTGCGTGAAGTAATAATAAAGAAAAGGATTCTTTGTTAATATTGAACTGGAATACTATTTCTGTATCAAGAATAATTTAGTTTCCGGGAAGTATTTTGTGGAAGCGCAACTTCGATTTTTTTTCCTCCTTCCCTTTTTGTGAGCGCTGAAAGAACTGGTCGATATAGGTGAATCACATTTTCTAAATATCACTTAGTAATGGTACAGAAAGTGTTTTTAAATAATGTTATTCGCGTTGCTAAGGTATTAAATATAACAAGAAATCATGCTTATTTTCATATATTTTTTTTGGAATTTGATATTACTGAAGGATCGTGAAGATTATGCTCCGTCAGTTTAGTGAGTACAGCCCCTTTATGACCTTGTATAAATGCTCGGATATCTTCAACAGATGCTGGCTATATCAAAAAATATATATATTTAAAGTTAGTTGCAGAATATTTAAAAAGGGAATTCAATAATATGCTTACATTGACTGGACAGGGTATGGGAGTTTTTTCTAGAGGACGATACAAGTTTATTTGTCCAACTGTATCAAGTTTCAGATGCTTGGCAACCTGTTCGGGGGGACCGTTGTTATCTTAATGACTCCGTGCAGACAAATTATGCCATAGTGAAAGATAAACGACCTACCGTTCGATCAAACACGACATAAAATGGGACTTCGGGGCTGAATTGAGAAGAAGCATCTTCGAATGCTTTGTAATCTGAAAAGATTTATATCTATATAAAATTTACTTTCGAGATGATGATAATTATTTTATTTTTTACTCTAAAAAAAAAATATATTCCCAACTTTCGATTACAAGTTTATAAATTCCTCCTCTCTTCTTTATAAATGGTGGATATTTAAAACGGGGTTTAAAACTGAGCAAAGAGTAAATTACTAAGTTTAAATGCACTGTACTCAATAGTGAGGTGCAATCTATTAATATGACTAAACAACGGGTTCTACATTGATCAGGTTGTAAACTAAGCTCCAATACTCTTGATTAAACTAATAATAATAATAAATCATGTGCTAGTCGCATTAAAGTATCCAACTACTGCCTCCAAATGATTTATTGTAATTTTGCAAAATGTCGAATTTTCAAAAATCACAATTTTTCTTCATTTTCCTCCGACAATTTATAAATTTCTCATTTAAAATTTAAAGTGATTTTCGTTATAATTAATTAAATATTCATTTTTCTAACGAAATCTTTTTGTTGATTTCTCTCGACTCACCAGCGGTATTCTTCATAAAGAATCCAACAACTCGCGGTTGTTCAACAGCATCAAAAGCTATTTTGTCCAATTTTCCCGTAATGATATTTATTTGAGTTGAGTTCAACTGAAATGAAAAGGAAAAAAAATAGAAGAAAAAAAAGACGAAGAAAAACATGTAATTCCTATAAAATTCAATAGAGGAGTGAATCAATGTAATAAATTTATCTTCTACCAGATTAACATAAAATGACAACAATTTTATTACTAGAAAGCCGATAATAATTAAAATAAAAAGTTTAATTAATTAAATAGTTTAAAATATTTATTTATAATTATCACAATGTTTAAATTAAATTAAATGACGATAAATAGTGACATTTTTTCCTGATACATCAATTAACTTTCAATTACACACAAAAAACTAAAATTTTTATGAGTGAAAATGTTTAAAAAATGAATAGAAGAAAATTATTCACAAATCATAACCCGACACTTAAGAATAATATTTAAACGAAATGAATTTTGATCATTTTAATATTCAAAGTTAACTAACTGATCACGTTCAAAGTTTCACGTAACATAGCAGAAATTAATTTGGTTATTTAAATATTAAAGTCAGATTTTAAGCGATTTCATGAAATATTTTGTCTTTCAGATTATTTAAAAATCTTTAGCCCAATTTATCTTCCAATGTTTCTTGTAATTTCAAATTTTGACAAGAAGAGAAATATTACATTGTCCTAAAGAATAAGCTATTATTAGGAATTCAACCGCATAAAAACAACATTACTTTATCATTTTATATACTTTTCACATTAATAAATTAATTAGCATTAAAATTTGTACCTAATTAATATTTTTCCATAACATTCTCTTAATTAAAACTCGATAGAATGTTAATATTTACAGCCGAAATACTACTTAATAAACTCGAGAATTTAACAAGGAAAGTCTTCCTAATCACTTTTAAAATTTTATTCCTTTTATTGTAAATCTATAAAACTATATTATTAACATAAATCTCGAAAAAAATATAATAAAATTTACATTTAAAGCTTACCTTGAGTATAAACGGCAAGAGAGAATTTGCTGATCGATGTCCAAAATAACGGTACTTTCTGGCATTCTTGTAAATATATACATCTCCAGATTTTAATTGTTCATCTGTCAAAATTACCAAACCCTTAACCACATTGTGTAAATTATAGAACCATGAACATGTTTCAAACAGATAAGAATAAGTTATTGTGCAAGAGAATTAATAGGAATCCTACTGTCAGAGCGAAATGACCATTCATCTATCTTTGTCTGTGAATGCAGGGGGAGGAGGAGGTAGTTATGAGTTTTCTAAAAATTATTCTAAAAAGAAAAATGGTCGAATCGTATCAAAACACTTTTGTTTTTCATAAATGGAAATGCAGAATTTTGACGTTCTGAATATCATTGAATTCACTTGCACGATAAAACCCGTCGAGCTGCATAAACATCATCAACCTCTTTTATCTAAAAAAAAATATATTCCTTTTAATACATTCATCTCCCGAAAAAAGAGCCCTGTTCCGATCAAACAGCATCAATTTAAAACGAAAAATATATATCTTTTAATTTACGTTATGGAGAGTAAATTCGATTGATTCGTTACATAAACATTTACCGAAATTGCTGATGGAAATTAGATTTAGATGTGTTTGAGTTAGCAGTTTTGACAAGAAAATCGACTTATTGACGGTGGTGTGGCCACCCCCTGCATCCTCCCGCATCCGAATGAGCTCACCTGCTAAGAATTCTTTGATGACAGAAACGTCAGCTTCACAGATTAGAACATTTCTTTTACGCAGGACTTGGGCAGTCACCTGAAGAGATAAACAGCAAAAATGAGAGAAAAAGCGCACAAGATAGCTTTATCGTTTCGCTTGATGCTCAGTTAAAAATGCTATTTTAAAAAAAAAGCTAATTTCGACAACCAAAGCCATTTTAAAAACGTATTATTAACGAACAAATTAATTCGAAGATGTTGCGAGCTACAATGTATTTATAATGAGTAATCTATGCTGGGATTTTTACTCGTTTAGACTGAGAATTTTAATAATATTTTAGAAAGTAAATTAATAATAATACTCTTTTTATATTTTTCAGAAATTGCTTAATAATTATTTATTTTTTTCTTAAAAACATCATCTATCATATTGAAAACGTCAAGTGTATAATTATTCTTTTTTAAATAAATAATTACGAGTGTAAGAAAATATTGCCAATTAATAAAAATCTGATACATTTGAACAAGTTTAGGCTACTTATAAAATAAATTGAAATTTCATATATTAAATCTATAAGGTTCGTATCTATAGATAATCAAAATTCTGCTGAGTGTATCTTTCCTTGAAAACTAGCCATAATTACCGATGAACGTCAGCGTACCCAACCTTGAACACGAGTTCAATCACTATCAAAATAAATGTAATCTAGAGCAAGTACTCGTGTCAGAAAGCAATTAAATTCGACTGTTTTAAAGCACGATCTACAATTTACCTCAAGCACGTGCAGGACTATCTTGAACATATATTAAGCTCGTAATCGTCGATACATTTTGTTGAACACGATCCACAATTACTGCTCAACACGAGCCAATACCACGAGTTCAACTAACCTCAAATTCGAGCTCAATTATTAATTAACAATGAACACGAGCTCAACTATTTAATAAAGAGCAAGCCACAGTTTTCGTGAATATGTAAACGACTATCTTGAGCATAAATTTAACTGTTCCTGTGCGGAAATTTTATTGTCATAAACATAAACCAGCTCATTAATTATTTAAAAAAATAGAACAAATTAACTTACGATCTAATTTAATATCGAAGTCAATATTTAGATATTTAGAAAAAAAAAGTAAAAGAAAATTGTTGAATATTTAAGAAACGAAAAAAAATCTCCTTCACAACTCTAAACAAATTTAATTAATTTAATTCACGGTCAGGACTAAACGAAATGGTCTGCTCAATTAGTTAAAAGTAATTGAACTTTTATTTTTAAATCTAGAAGCAATTTTAGATGAAGAGATTCTAATAAGTTCATTTGAAAGTCGTTTAAATAATTGAATGGGAATATCAAAATTAAAAAACAAGATGATTTTTCTTAATATAAAAATATCCAAATAAATGGTTTATTGTTGTTATAAGAGATAAGTTATCATTTAACTTAGCTGAAATACAGATTAAAGCATTTATAGAAGTTAAGATAAGAAGAAATTTTAATCAATTTAAAATAAAAAAAATAAAAAAATGCTGAAGTTTTATTTCTATAAATTGTGAAATTTTCTAAATTTAAAATTTTTGTAAACAAACAAATTTTATGCACACGTTTATATCAGTCACGTGTATATTCATTTGGCTCATAAGTTCGTAGTTATGTGACTCATAACTGGCTGTGCACAAAATACGTTCTTCTGAGTCACCTGTTCGCAATTTATGTATATAAATTAATGATTCATGCCACGAAATTTTCTTTATACGAACGATAAACTGCAGAAATGATTTACTTTCACAAAAACGAAGATTCACAAGTCAATTTCGAACTTGTAAAAAACTACAATTTTCTATAAAATCTACATGTTATAAACAATTAAAAACTTTCATGAAATCTACAAACATTAAAAAATAAATTACAATAGTCTATGAAATCTACAAGTTATAGAAAATTGTAATTTTCTATAACTTGTAATTTCAAAATATATTGACATTTTTATTCTTCAATTTAATAAAAATATTTTTTTTTTTCCTCCTGTAAAATTTAGTAATTAAAAACACACATACAAGTGTAATATATAAACCAATAATACACTAACAAAAGCTTGTACTTTGTCTGATAGACGTTGATATTAACCTTGAACTTCATACTTGAATTATCCTGTATCTAACGTATGCATCAAGGAGGGGAAATGAAATTCTTATCTGTATTTTATAAAACAACTACTCGAAGATTTATATAAAGATATTTACGAGTTTGTTTTAAAATAAATAACTATTTTAACACGATGTCCTTTACTGTAAACCATTCGACGATTGATTCGCAAAATGTTTTGATTCTGCAATAATTTCCATTATCGTCACTAGATGGCGATAGATGTAAATGCTTTAACAAATGAGTGCAAAATCGACCAAAATAATAGCCTACTTATAGCCACACATGGAACGATCCAAATGTCTCAAATTGACAATTTCTAGTGAATTAGAGCGTGACGTCGAAGGAACATCAATTGACCTCGAATGAATTTCATTTTTTAATAATTTTTTTTTCCCTGAAAATTAAATATTTAGACCAAGATGTTGGTCATGATAAATAGATCTTGAGAAAAAAAAATCCTACGTTAATTTTCAAAAATAAAAAATTTAATGTTTATTATTTGGAATTGTCTGCAAAGTGCTACTTTCTTCATTCCAAGTAATTTGGCCTAATCGGCTTTTCACACCATTTGTTCCCCCCCCCTATTTTTTTGGTTACAGATTTTGTTTTGTTCTCTAATAAGCTGTTAGCTTGTTTTCTACTAAATCCTTAAAAAGTAAAAAGAAAAAATAAGACAAAAGCTCGTTATAAAGTTTTTTGAGTGATGCAAAATCGGATATTCAAATCAGTCGGCAGTAATTTGAGCCATTCATTATTTATTCAAGATTTATGCAATATTTTACATAATTCATACACTAAAATGATACGCGTATACAAGAAAAAATTACAGTAAAATCTCTCAGTTCCAATTATATTTTAATGGAATAAAAGTACTTTTATTTTTAAAGAAGTAATCTAGATGACATACTTGCTGATCTCTTTTATAAAGTAATTGATGAAGAGTCCAAGTACTTTATTATTTACATATAGTTTGAATATAATTAAAGAATATATTTTTTAAAATTCTAATTAATTTTATTCTTTAATTGTCTTATCTTTCGATAAAATTAATAGAATTTTATTTATTTACATCCTTCAAATAAATTTTAATTAGTAAACAAAAATTATGTATGTATAAACCTGCACATTCTTCATTCGTTAGGAATTTTTATCCATGCATAATTTTGATTACTTATTTTACATTTTCTATAAATTTAATGTAATTCTCGCGTGGCTATAAATGTAAAATGTACCCTCGAGTTCTATATAATTTACATTGAAGTGAGGTTTTCGTTACGGAGCATGAAATCTAGAATATAAATTATATTAGAAAATTGGATGTTGTATGAAAAATTCAACATTTATATATTTTTTTCTTATATTCTGAATCATAACAGCATTCCTTAAGAAACCCATTTCATTTGGATATAACAAATCCTCATGTGTCATACTGTACAAGTAGACTTTGACATGTAATTTGCTAGAGTTTGTTCACCTGCTATAGCAAATATATGTGCAAAAATCAAATCACAAATCATATCTGTATGATTTGAAGCTTCTTGAAGCCTATAATTTTTTTTACTTTTTTCTGGGAGTTATGCTACTCCACCCCAATTCAGACGTGAACTAAAAGTTGAATTACATGGCAAAACTAGAGATTCGATTGAATGAATATTTTCCGAATCACTCCATCAAATTAATTCTGGAGATCAAATATTACCAGAAATAAATCGTTAAAAAACACCCCCCAAAAATAAAAAATATATCACTTTAAATAGAGTTTACATATTAGAAAGGGTTCTTTAATATTTTATAAATAATTTTAATACCAAAAATATAATTTTATATTATTTTCTATACACGATTTTACTTCGTAAACTGTAAAAAATAATAGATGTGTTCAGATACAACACACATCTAATATAAAGGATTTTGTCTCCTTATATATAAATCGCCCCCAGACTTATATAAACATTGGAATCTAACAAATCGAAATTTGTAGTTGCAGTAAAAACTTACTAAAAGAAGAGAAAACTATGAGTAAATTAGAAAAAAATAACTGCAATTCATTTCATGATATACAATCAAATTTTCTAAATGGTCATAAGTAATGATACTAAACTACTGAGGATATATCTAACAAAAGAATATAATAAAACATTTCATTGGCTATCAAAGATAGTTAAAGAATAAATTTATTTAAAAAAACAAAGATAATCAGTCAATTTATTTTGATAAGATGCAACATTTTTATTACACAACAGAAAACAATAGTGGGTGGATTCGTTTCTTTCATAACACCTATTTTCTGGTTGATTTTTGTTGATAACATCTGACAACCTTTATCAGATATCATTTGCCTTTTATTAAACTTATATAGACGTAGCAAAAATTACTTTTATAAAACATTGTCAAGAAGTTAAAAAGGTCAAAGTTTAAATTATTATTTTCATATATACAAATAAGTAAAGTCTATAATTAGCTTTCTTTAAATATAATTAAAATTTCGAAAGTTATCATTACGATTTACATCCGTAAAAACTCAATTATCGCCATTATAATATTATAGTAAAATGTTTAATTATTGGAAAGAAAAATAAAAACTAAATTTATTAATAATTTGTTTGTATATTTTATAAAAATTTTATAATTAAAAATAAACACGTTGATTAAGATTCTAACGAACAAAAATGCTAATTACTACTTTTTAACAGAAGAAAAAAAATTTTTTTAGCAGAATAAACTTTTAAATATTTAAAATAATAATTTGAAATTCATCAAGTCATTAAATTTTAATAAATTTAACAATTAATTACTATTTAAGTAAGTGATAGTAATTAATTTTTATTTAAATCTCGTTAGAAAGATGTCGAGCAGATAATTTTCCAAAGTACTTACTTGGGTGAAGCTGTCCAAATCGTCAGAACATCCAGTAGATTGATGTGTCGTCGTGAAAGCGACGACTACTATTTCTGCAGAACTGACAACAGACGTGAAATTGTCTGCTCCTATGGTGCAGACACGTTTGACACCGTCATGTTTTGGTAGTTGAAGGTAAGTTAACAGCTGGCCGTGACAGATGGAGAAAAGAAGTATGACCAAACCCAAGCTCAACCTACTCATGTCGTCAGTCGACGAATCAAGGGAATTATCCGCCTCGTACAATGTTATTTATACTGTTTTCGCCTCTTCTATCAAAATATCTTATCCGGAAATACGAAAGCGTAAAGGGAAGTAAATACGTCATTTCCTATTTCAAAATTACAACCTTTAATCATAGAAGTTATCTGGTAATTTTTATATAGAAAATAACAATTTTTTTCTTCTATAATAAATATATAAATCATCCCACCTTAGCTTTAAATTGTATAACAAACACCTTTTTATTATTATTATTATTATTATTTAAACTATAAAAATAATAAAATATGTTTAGTGATCTTAGATTAATAGTTATGCATTAGTTATTAATGTCGTTATTAATGACTGTAATGTTTGCCAAAGAAGTTTCCATTATTCTAAGTTGCAGATCCGAAAGTAATAAAGGAAGATAACGATATGTATTTTCGCGAAAACTACATCATTACTAGAGATGAACAATTTTTATTACTTTCATAAAAAGAAAAGTCGAATTTTTGTACAAATAACATTCCTTGTAATCAAATATACAACATTTTCTCGGCTAAACAGCAAAATTATGCTATAGAAAAACTAGAATTATTATTTGTTTTAACTACAAATGAATTTTAATTGAATTATGTGTGTGTATACATATATATACACACACGAATGTGTAGCGATTATATTATTTTACGTGTAATTTTGATTAAATACTATACTGTCAAGCCTCGATGTAGCGACAGCATTTGTTCGCTTGGCACTAAATCCGAATCAAAGCCTCAAACAAGAAGAATTATACAGTATATATAATAATAAAGTCTACGTACAAGTTGAAGTTTGTGAGTTTATAAGTCATGTAATTCGATGATGAACAAAATTTCACGTAAGTATTAAAGGAATACTCGATATAACATTTATGGGGAAAGCATTCTTTGTCATTTTACGAGGGAGCACTATATCGAGGTTTACATTACCTTAAGTAGTATTTTGTATTATAAGGTATATTAGTGATAATGTAGTGTATTTTAGGGTGTATTAAAAGCAGTGTAGTGCAGTGTAGCAAAATTTTAAATTAAATACTACTGTATAACTTATTTATTTTATAGTATTTTTTAAAAATATATATAATTTTGGGGGTAATATTTGATGTAAATAGTACTATATTTATCTAATAATACCGTAAAAAATAATAATGTAGTAATATTTGTTAATAATACACAATGTATTTTTTACATGAGAGTTTGTAAAATATGTAAAGAAAAAATAAAATAAAATTTATTATGGGCTTTAAAATGTTTAAAGTGTTTCGACGTTAATTACTAACAACATGGAGATTTACGCTTAACATCTTTATGGGTGATGATCTTTTGTTGTTTTCTGACGTCACGAATTGTTACGCTCTTTAATCATAATAATTTATTTTCGAAATTAAATTTTCTCGAATAAATTTCTTTTTAATTTTCATATAATTTATAAAACTTTAATTCTTTCATCTTTCTTTCATCTGCTACTCCACGTAATTGCGACAAAGAAGTGTTATTCATTTATATTATTATTGTACATTATCAAACGTTAACTGAATCAGATCATTTATGTATAAATTAACTAATATATTATATTAGTTAATTTATTATATTAGTTAATATATCCGTAAATGATACGTCGTTTTCTATTAATCAAAATTTCATTAGTTAATTTCTATGATGATTCTCTCTCTTTATAATTATTTCTAATTTGATATTATTGAGGCATACAATAAAATTAACTTGATTGAATTTTATTATTGTTCTTTAAGGCTATTTTATGAAGATAAATGCCATTAAATTCGTTAAATTTTCTAAGAAATTCTGATATATTTTTTAAAATTCTAATTAATTTTATTCTTTAATTGTCTTATCTTTCGATAAAATTAATAGAATTTTATTTATTTACATCCTTCAAATAAATTTTAATTAGTAAACAAAAATTATGTATGTATAAACCTGCACATTCTTCATTCGTTAGGAATTTTTATCCATGCATAATTTTGATTACTTATTTTACATTTTCTATAAATTTAATGTAATTCTCGCGTGGCTATAAATGTAAAATGTACCCTCGAGTTCTATATAATTTACATTGAAGTGAGGTTTTCGTTACGGAGCATGAAATCTAGAATATAAATTATATTAGAAAATTGGATGTTGTATGAAAAATTCAACATTAAAAAAAATAAAAATCTCTTTATAATAAACTTTATAATCTTATTAAAATATAAAATATATTTTTAATTTAATAAATTAATTAATTATACGATTAAATTTACTTTCTTACAAGGAGAAAAACTGTGAAGAAGGGAAAAAAACTATACACAAAAGAAGTTTTTCAATCAACTTGAATAAAAATCTTAAAAAGAAAATGATTTTAAAGAACCAAGTTAATTTTGGTGATCATTAAATGCAAATTAGCTCCGAACTCTTCAAAGAAATAGCATTTAGATTAGAATTATAGTAGATCACAATTTGCTTGGATGCTATCTTGTTACTGTTTTAATGATTTGAAAGTAGATTGAATTAAAGAATTCTTTTATTACTGTTTCTTCGTTTCACAAATTTAAATATTGTTCAAGTGCTAAATAGGTTAAGATAAATGAACACAATTCAAAAAAAAATTATTTACTTTCACTTTTTATGAGAAAAAATTCGTATTAAGTTACTATCAATATATTACTATTTACAACACCCACAGTTTTCAAGAACAAAAATGCTAATTACTACTTTTTAACAGAAGAAAAAAAATTTTTTTAGCAGAATAAACTTTTAAATATTTAAAATAATAATTTGAAATTCATCAAGTCATTAAATTTTAATAAATTTAACAATTAATTACTATTTAAGTAAGTGATAGTAATTAATTTTTATTTAAATCTCGTTAGAAAGATGTCGAGCAGATAATTTTCCAAAGTACTTACTTGGGTGAAGCTGTCCAAATCGTCAGAACATCCAGTAGATTGATGTGTCGTCGTGAAAGCGACGACTACTATTTCTGCAGAACTGACAACAGACGTGAAATTGTCTGCTCCTATGGTGCAGACACGTTTGACACCGTCATGTTTTGGTAGTTGAAGGTAAGTTAACAGCTGGCCGTGACAGATGGAGAAAAGAAGTATGACCAAACCCAAGCTCAACCTACTCATGTCGTCAGTCGACGAATCAAGGGAATTATCCGCCTCGTACAATGTTATTTATACTGTTTTCGCCTCTTCTATCAAAATATCTTATCCGGAAATACGAAAGCGTAAAGGGAAGTAAATACGTCATTTCCTATTTCAAAATTACAACCTTTAATCATAGAAGTTATCTGGTAATTTTTATATAGAAAATAACAATTTTTTTCTTCTATAATAAATATATAAATCATCCCACCTTAGCTTTAAATTGTATAACAAACACCTTTTTATTATTATTATTATTATTATTTAAACTATAAAAATAATAAAATATGTTTAGTGATCTTAGATTAATAGTTATGCATTAGTTATTAATGTCGTTATTAATGACTGTAATGTTTGCCAAAGAAGTTTCCATTATTCTAAGTTGCAGATCCGAAAGTAATAAAGGAAGATAACGATATGTATTTTCGCGAAAACTACATCATTACTAGAGATGAACAATTTTTATTACTTTCATAAAAAGAAAAGTCGAATTTTTGTACAAATAACATTCCTTGTAATCAAATATACAACATTTTCTCGGCTAAACAGCAAAATTATGCTATAGAAAAACTAGAATTATTATTTGTTTTAACTACAAATGAATTTTAATTGAATTATGTGTGTGTATACATATATATACACACACGAATGTGTAGCGATTATATTATTTTACGTGTAATTTTGATTAAATACTATACTGTCAAGCCTCGATGTAGCGACAGCATTTGTTCGCTTGGCACTAAATCCGAATCAAAGCCTCAAACAAGAAGAATTATACAGTATATATAATAATAAAGTCTACGTACAAGTTGAAGTTTGTGAGTTTATAAGTCATGTAATTCGATGATGAACAAAATTTCACGTAAGTATTAAAGGAATACTCGATATAACATTTATGGGGAAAGCATTCTTTGTCATTTTACGAGGGAGCACTATATCGAGGTTTACATTACCTTAAGTAGTATTTTGTATTATAAGGTATATTAGTGATAATGTAGTGTATTTTAGGGTGTATTAAAAGCAGTGTAGTGCAGTGTAGCAAAATTTTAAATTAAATACTACTGTATAACTTATTTATTTTATAGTATTTTTTAAAAATATATATAATTTTGGGGGTAATATTTGATGTAAATAGTACTATATTTATCTAATAATACCGTAAAAAATAATAATGTAGTAATATTTGTTAATAATACACAATGTATTTTTTACATGAGAGTTTGTAAAATATGTAAAGAAAAAATAAAATAAAATTTATTATGGGCTTTAAAATGTTTAAAGTGTTTCGACGTTAATTACTAACAACATGGAGATTTACGCTTAACATCTTTATGGGTGATGATCTTTTGTTGTTTTCTGACGTCACGAATTGTTACGCTCTTTAATCATAATAATTTATTTTCGAAATTAAATTTTCTCGAATAAATTTCTTTTTAATTTTCATATAATTTATAAAACTTTAATTCTTTCATCTTTCTTTCATCTGCTACTCCACGTAATTGCGACAAAGAAGTGTTATTCATTTATATTATTATTGTACATTATCAAACGTTAACTGAATCAGATCATTTATGTATAAATTAACTAATATATTATATTAGTTAATTTATTATATTAGTTAATATATCCGTAAATGATACGTCGTTTTCTATTAATCAAAATTTCATTAGTTAATTTCTATGATGATTCTCTCTCTTTATAATTATTTCTAATTTGATATTATTGAGGCATACAATAAAATTAACTTGATTGAATTTTATTATTGTTCTTTAAGGCTATTTTATGAAGATAAATGCCATTAAATTCGTTAAATTTTCTAAGAAATTCTGATATATTTTT